CCATCCCTCTGGATGCCATCCCGGGGACCTGCGTGGCCTGGCACACAGGAAGCAGGCTCGCAGAGCGGGGTCCCCACCTGTAGCAGTGCAGGGCCGTGAGCATCATGTGCGAGGAGTCCAGTGAGTGGATGAAGTTGGGTGGGAACCCGTTCTTCTGCTTCTGTGTGTTGGGCTTCCTGGGGGATGGGGAGGGGCTGAGGGCCCAGCGCACGCCCCGTCCCGGCCCCCGCCCAGCCCGGGCCCCCACTCACTGGCTGCTGTCCTTGGCTTGGTTGCAGGTGATGCTCTGAAGCCCTCCTCTGACCTGCAAGCGGGGCAGAAGCCATGAGTCCCGCACCAGGCCTGACCCGCTGAGGGGGCCAGGGATCCACGTACCGTGACCTTGGTGTCCTGGTGGTAGGGCTGGATGATCGGGATGCCCAGCGGCGTGACCCACTCCACCGCGGAGCCCGCCTGAGAGATGAGGCGGGCGCTCTCAGTCAGCCAGTGCTGTGGGCGGGAGACAGCTCAGACCAGGGCCTCTGGGCACCAGCCACCCCCCTCAGGGAGCTGTGGCCTTCAGCTCCAGCAGGGAGCCGAGGGACAGGCTCACCTGGATGGCCCGGGTGCTCGAGAACATCTCCTGCAGGCTGCTGAACACCTGGCGCACCAGGTAGTGGGAGGCCTCCCACAGGAATTCCTGGGGAGGGGAGGCAGGGGCTTGGCAGGGGGCCCATGCGGACCCCCCACACCCCGACCCCCAGGACCAGCCCAGTCACACCCCCTGAGGCACAGGGTCCTGGGGGTGGATGAGAGCAGGGCAGCTGACACGCAAGTGGGACACGAGCCCCAGCCCACAGGCAGCCAGTAATCTGGGGTAAAATCAAAGCGTTTCCCGACACCACAGGCCCACGTACCTGGGGGAAGTCACTGAGCTCCCTGAGGCGCCTCTCGATCTGCAGGCGCCCGCCATAGCGGGTGACCCCATACACCACGGTCATCACAGTCTGCTTGACCACCTTGCGGTCGATGAAGCCCTCTAGTACCTGGGCCACCCGTAAGCCCTGCTCTGCGTCCTGCCTGCGGAACACCTCCACCTGCGCCGGTGGCAGCGAGTCAGGCAGCCTGGGGACCACCCAGCCCCTGTGTCTCCCCAGCGAGCCCCCATCACACCCCAGGGGACAGGCCAAGGATCAGGTCACTTTGAGGTCACCATGGGGCTACGGCACTGACTAGAGGGCCCATGTCCCTGCTGCACCTGAGAGCTCAGGTGGGCAGTGGGATAGGGAAGGGCCCGCAGAGCCTACCTGTGCGGCCACCTCACTGTACACATCTTGTGGCAGATCCAAGGGCGTCAGGTTGACAGAGGCAGCGCCCACGCTGTCACGGCCCAGGGCAGCATAGTGCTGCAGACCGTTACAGGAGCCGTCCTGGGATGGCAGCGGGGACACAGTGGGGGTGAGGCATCCACAAGCCACGAGACCACCGCTCCATGCCTCCCCAGGGCTCTGCGAACGCCGTGAGCTCACTGGCCCCCATCATGGAAGGGAAAGGGCTCAGAGAGGCAGGGGTGTGGGGAGCCCCAAGTGACCTGCAGGCTGAGCCGTCCCTAGAGCCACACACCCCAAAGCCCAGCTGCAGTGGGGCAGTTGCCCCTGGACCCTGCGCTCTGCCAGCAGAGAGGGAAGGACATACCTATCCAAGGCCACACAACAAGGCCATGGGAACCCATCATGGCTGTCCCCAAAAGACACCAAGGTTTCAAGATGCAATGTCAGACTGCAAACCGCAGGACTTGGGATAGCATAAACCCAACCCTGACTGTCGAGGTACAACGGGGGGCCCCACCACGGCTCACCTGGTGAACAGGGAGGTGGGAGATGTAGGTGGCAGGGTTGGGGGTGCGCACAGCCCTAGCGATCTCCATGCAGCAGGCCAGGGCTTGCCAAGGCTCATCTGCTTCCATCCACCACTTCCGGCCCTGTGGAGGGCAGGCAGGCGGTAACAGGTGAAACCACGGGTCCTCGAGCCCCAGGGGACATGGGGACACAGGGAGGATACATGCACAAGTGCTGGGGCAGACAGGACCCAACCAGGCAGGATATAGGAACAGTCCCCTGGATGGGAGTGTGAACAACAACAGGGCGGGGGCAGCTGTGGACAGAGGTTGGAGCTGCCGTGGACTGGGGAGGGAAGCAAGACCAGGAGAAAAGTGCTGGAGGGCTGAGAGAAGACGGAGGACAGAGTCTGAAAGGCCTGTGGGTGGCAGGAGCCAGAGGCCGGCAGCAGAAGCCACGGACAGTGGGCGGGGCTGCGCTGCGTGGCTGAGGCCGTACCGCCATGGGCTGGTCCGCGGAGTCCAGGATGTCATCCATCACCTCGTTGGCAAAGGCCAGGCGTGCCCGCAGTGTCACACGCTTCTTGAACCCCGTGAGGTTGACCAGGTGGATCTTGAGCCAGTCTAGGCCGTGGGGTCCAAGCGGGCGGCCCTCTGCGAACTCCAGCAGGGCCCGTGCCAGGTCGCTGCCCAGGTGGTTGAAGTGCGGTGGGCAGGGGTAGGTGCGGCCACGGAAGTCCATGTTGTGCGGCAGCCAGAAGACACGGTGCCGCAGGTGATGCGCCAGCGAGAGGCGGTACAGGGCGTCCGTGCGCAGGCTGTGCATCTCCCGGGCCGCCTTGAGGCAATGGGCCAGCTCCCGCCGCAGCTCAGCCTTGTGGGCAGGAGAGGTGTCCTGCGGCAGGCGGCCCTCTGGTGGCTGAGGTGCCTCAGAGGGCGGGGGTGGCACGCCCAGGCGGGAGCAGCCCTTGTCCCTGAAGAGCTCCAGCACCAGGTCCAGCACCTGCCCGTTGACGCGCCAGGTGCAGTTGCCCAGCTGGGTGAGCGTGTCCAGGGCCCCATGCAGCTCGGCGGGCGGGCAGCGCTCCAGCAGCCGCTGGTGCTGCGTCGTGCCCTCCACTGCGCGCATCAGCTTGGTGGGGCTTAGCAGGAAGGCGCCGGAGTGCGGGGAGGTCCAGGGCAGGGGCGGGCACAGCATGGGCACGTCCACCGCCTCAAAGGTCAGCGTGGGCTCCGCCGCGGTCGCCAGCAGCTGCACGAAGGCCGGGTGTGGCTTCAGGATGCCGATCTGGAGGCGCATGTGGGGGGGAGGTCGGTCAGGGCCTGCCCCAGGGGCTTGCCGCTGCTCCTTCCTGAATTTGGCTGGGAGACTCCCTCCCTCCTTCCCACTAACAGAAGTCAACTTTAAATATATAACTCTGGGCCGGGCGCGGTGGCTCACGCCTTCAATCCTATCACTCTGGGAGGCTGAGGCAGGTGGATTGCTCAAGGTCAGGAGTTCTAAACCAGCCTGAGTGAGAGCAAGACCCCGTCTCTACTAAAACTAGAAACAAATTAATTGACCACCTAAAAATATATAGAAAAAAATTAGCCGGGCATGGTGGTGCATGCCTGTAGTTCCAGCTAGTTGGGAGGTCAAGACAGGAGGATCACTTGAGCCCAGGAGATTGAGGTTGCTGTGAGCTGGGCTGAGGCCACGGCACTCTAGCCCGGGGGCACTCTAGCCCGGGGGCACTCTAGCCCGGGGGCACTCTAGCCCGGGGGCACTCTAGCCCGGGGAACAGAGTATGACTGCCTAAAAAAAAAAAAAAAAAAAAATTTCGAAGGCCGTGGCTGACCTCTGCAGGCGTGTTCCGAGCCCTCGGAGGCAGGGCCAACGGGCAAGGACCCACTGCAGCAACGCAGTGTTGCCACCTGCTTGGGGTGGCCCCAGGACTCAGCAGGGGCCCCGCACCACCCAGAACCCCCAGTCGCCCCCACCTGGGCAGTACCTGGCGGAAGCTGCGGAAGGAGTACACGTGGTAGAGCACGGGGATGAGCCCGCAGGAGCCCGGGGGCTTGGTCGGGCTGCGCGGCATCTGCACGGTCTGCACCAGCAGCTCCGCCAGGTGCTTGCCCAGCTGCAGCAGCACCGGCACCGGCCAGGGCTTCTCCTGCGGTGCTTCCAGTGGCCCCAGCGCCTCCCAGTACTGCCGCGGCAAGCTGGGCTCGGCCACCTGCAGGGAAGGGTCAGTTGGGAGGGGCCTGGGGCTTCAGTGCTGGACATCCCCACCCCACCCAGCTGGGCAACTGTGGCCCCCGTTCTACAGACGGGCCAGGCTGGTACGGAAGGGAGCAGAGCCAGGGCACAAATGGCCTACCCCAGAGAGTGAGGGAGGGCACCCATTCTGCTGCGTGTCTCCATGGTCAGGGCCTCAGTTTCCCCACCAGGAAACCCACCTGGCTCCCCAGCGCCGCAGCTGGCGCTCACCTGGGTGTCGGAGGCCAGCAGGTGCAGATACTGGGTGTACCGCCGCTCCAGTGCCTGCACCTGGCTGTTGAGCTGCTGCTTCTGCACCATGTGCCGGCTGAAGGTCCGCCGGCCCAGCTCATGGGCCACGGCAATGAGGGACTCGCCCTGGGCGGGCAGCGCCTGCAGGGTCTGGGGGAGGCAGCTGTGAGCCCACCGCCTGCACCCCCCTACCCCACCCCATCCCTGGGCCGTGCCCGCCGAAAGCCAGGCCAACCTGCATGAGTAGCCTCACAAACTCGCGCTCGCTGAGCAGGCAAAGAAAGGGGTAGAGCGTGGGGCGGCCCTCGTGGGCCTGGCGGGCCAGCCTGGCCTTGGTCTCCTGCAGTGCTTGGTGAAGTGCCGCCTCCCACTGATCGCGCAGGTTCTTCAGGGTGTTCCGCTGTGGGGGGAGGGGTGCAGGACGTGGGCATGGTCACCACGGCAGCAGCCACAGGACCTGAGCCCACAGGCCCCAGTTCTACCCCAGCGGCATCACCCTGCAGAGACCTTGCAGGGACCTCGGTGTGTTTGAGGAGGCCGAGGGCCCACCCTCATGGCCCCACCAGTCTCTCCAGAGCCCCAGCCTGGTGAGACCCCAGGACCCTGTCCCTTGCCACACGCAGCGTCGCACAGGTCTGAGCCCCTCACCGCGTGCACGGTCTCCTCGGTCAGCACCGCAGCCTTGTCCACGGACTCCACGTCGACAGTGGTGGTCAGCTCCGCGCGGAGCTGCTGCTGGAAGAGGTCCTGCAGGGTCTTCAGGGGCAGGGGCAGCTTCGGGTAGGACACGGGGCCATCCTGGGGGAAGAGCTGGGTGGTGAGGGCCCGGGCGCCTAGCCGAGGGAGGCCTGTGACCGTGTCCGCCTGCCCCGCCCGGGAGCCTCCTGAGAGCTGCCCACCTCCGTTGCTGACAACGCACAGAGCAGCGGCACAGTATGTGAAGCAGCTGCCACTGGTGACAAAGGGACAAGGGGTGCCCATCTGGAAGGAGGACTGAGCAGTGCAGGGTGGGGGCCGGCAGAGCCCAGGAAACAGTTCATAACGTCCCTGGACGTTTGCTGTTTTATTCTCAAATTTGGAACCATGTGAATGTGTGACCAGGCCAAAAATAGACAATAGATAAATTAAAATTAGCAACTAAACCAAACACTTTGAGAACTAAAAACACACGTCTGCACAAAATCTCATACACAAATGTTCACAGCGGCATCATTCAGAGTAGCTGAAAGGTAGAAACAGCTCAAATGCCCCATTGATGGATGAGTGGACAGTGTGGTCCACCCACACGTGGGACATCACTCAGCCACAAAAAGGATGAGGCTCTGACACAGGCCACAGCGTAGATGGGCCTTGAGGATGTCATGCTCAGTGAGAGAAGCCAGACACAGAAGGACGCGACACACAGTGTGAGACTCCATTTGTGTGAAATGTCCAGAACAGGCAGATCCACAGAGACGGGTTGTGAGGGGCTGGGGAGTGACTGTGACTGCTCATAAGGATGGGGTTGCTTTTTGGATGATGAGAATGTTCCAGAAAGAGATGGTGGTGGTAACTGCACAACTCTGAATATACTAAAAACACTGAATGACTCTACAAGGTGACTTGTAGAGTCACCTTGTACTCTACAAGTCTGTCCCCCCAGACAAAGCCAAGGTATCTACCAGGTGGCTCTGCCCACCCCTCACACTCCTCTCCTGCCCTGGGAGGTGGGGTCGCACCCCAGCCTGGTTCTGCCAGCACCTGAGTCCCAACATCAGTCTTAGGCCATGGCAGGGCCATCCCAGCAGTGCCCCTGCACCCTGTCCCCTCCAAGCCTCTGAGGGCCTCATCCTTCTGACACCTGCCACCCCCAGGCCAAGGCCCTCCCACGCCCTGCAGGGCAGGCACTTCCAGCTCTGCCTTTCCATGTTCTGAGCAGGAAGGGAGGGATCAGAGCCTGCGTCACAGCCGGCAGGTGCTGAGCTGAGGCCCCCGAGACAAGCACAGCACCGCCAAAGGGCGGAGACACCGGCCCGTTGGTGCCAGGCCCTGCTCACCTTGGCGTAGACCTCCCTGAGCAGCGTCGAGGTGTTGACCTGGGGCGGGGGTGGCGGCGGTGGCCTGAAGGTAGGCCGAGCCTTGACTATGGCCCTGAGGATCTCGGCCCGCTCCTCCTCAGACAGGGGCACGGCCGTGAAGAGATCCGCCAGCTGCAGCTTGTCCCGGGCCATCTGTTGCAGACACCTGTGGGGTAGCCCCAGACTCAGCCCCCACACATCCCACCCCGAAGACACCTCCGGGAAGGTCTCGGTGGGGCCATCAGGTCCTCCAGGGGTCCCAGCCCACAGCCCGGGCCAGGGGGCGCCCAACGCCACCTACCTTTGGATGGTCCTGGTATCCTGGTCCAGCCGCCCCATGCACTGCAGGGCGGCCGCGTAGGACAGCAGGTCCGGGGTGAAGCCAGCGTCTTTCACCATGATGAACACGTACACCAGCTCCTTGAAGGAGCCCTGGGGAAGCAAGCCGGGGTGAAGGTCTGGGGGCCACCCTGTCCTCCGTATGCCCTCTGCTCCCTTGAGACCCCTTCTCTGCAGCCAGCGGCTCCGGGAGGGGAGCGGGCTATGGCGTCACCAGCCGTGAGTGGCTGGAGGGCGGATGGAGACTGGTCCACCTGTTCCTGTGCGCAGGCTCAACCTGCAGAAGGGCAGGGCTGGAGGGGACTTGTCAATATTTTAATATTTTCTTTTGTGGATATAAACATGCGGTATTTTGGGGCTGCTAATAATTGACCCCTCTTCAGGTCCACCAATTTTGTCAACCTTTTCACAAGACCAACTTGGTTTTGTTGATTTTCTGTTTCAATCTTCATTACTTCCTTTTGTCTGTTTCCTTTGGGTTTAGTGAGAGCTTCTCTTTCTAGTTTCCTGAGGTATTGGATTTGAGATGTTCACCTTTCTTAATGCAGCCATTATAGCTATAAATTTTCCTCTGAACACTGCTTTAGCTGTATCCCAGAACTTCTAGTAGGTGATGTTTTCATTTTCATTCATCTCCAAGTATTTTTTAATTTTCCTTGCTATTTTTTCTTTGACCCAGCAGCTGCTTAAGAGTGCTGATCTATAGCCTGAGCAAGACCCCATCTCTACTAAAAAAAGAAAAAAATAACCCATGCATGGCAGCACACACCTGTAGTTCCAGCTACCCATGAGGCTGCAGTGAGCTGTGATAACACCACTGCACTCCACCCTGGGTGACAGAGGGAGACTCTGTCTCAAAAAAAAAAAAAAAAAAAAAAAAAGAGTGCTGGTTTGTAGCTATAACAGACCCTTTCAAAAGGAAGAAAAATTTCCCAACATCCTCCCACCCTATGGTCCACCAGCCCTAATTTGAGAAAGGCTGTCACATGAGGTGACCATAGTGCCAGAGACCTGGGTTTAGGGTAGCTGTCTGAATGACCTCAGCTGGGCTGACCAGCAGTCCTAGCCACGCAGAGTTGTTTAATTTGAATTTAAATGCTCAGTTCTCCCGTCACACTCGTTCTAAGTGCTCACAGGTGCACCTGGCTGGTGCCAAAGATTGAACGTTTCCAATGTTGCAGAATGTTCTACAGAGAATGTTCTACAGAAGGGGCTGGTCAAAATACGTGTCTACCCTACCTACCATATGTATTTGGTTTTTTTAGTAATATCAGCAATAAGATGAAAACACACATTCTAAAACATCATACACTCTCTCAGCCCCTCTCCTAAACACATCCATGGAATGTGGGGAGCCCTAATTTAGGGCTCCCCCTTCTTCCAAGAATCCAGTAATCTCCCCATTTTATGGATGGGAAAACCGGGGCTCAGGGAGGAGGTGACTGGCTGTGACCACACAGGGAGCCAGTGGCAGAGACAGACTCAGAAGCCCGTCTGGCTGCCAAGCCTCACTCCACAAGCCACCAAAAGAACAATTCCTTAAGAAGCAAACGGTGCCCGTGAAGAGCATGTGATTCAGCACAGTACACGAGCGGGTTCACCAGTGTCTCCCTGAAACTCACGTTCACTGGTAACCATGGAACGTGGTCTCATTTGGAATGATGTCAGCTAAGGTGGGCTCATGCTAGGTGAGGTGGGCTCTACTCCATGACCGGTGTCTTCGTAGGAAAGAACACCCAGACGTGCAGGGAAGACGCCACGTGAAGATGGAGGCCGAGATCCAAGGGACGCGCGTGAACAAGCCCAGGGACTGCGAGGAGTGCCCGCCACCCCAGAAGCTGGAAGGGCAGGAAGGATCCTACCCCTGGAGCCTTTGGAAGGAGTAGGCGCTGTCCTCATCTGGATTTCACATTTATGGGGCCCAGAACTGAAAGTGAATAGTTTCTGGTTTTCTAAGCTACCAAGTTTGTGACACTTTGTTAAAGCCCCAGGAAACTCACAGGGGGGCTGATCAGAAAAACCTCGTGTGATAACTGGCTCTTCACAGAGGGAATTAGAAAGTTTGTGACCTGGGATGGGAAAAACACAACTCTTATGCTCAGCATTCCTGGACTACAGTGCATGCCCAGCAATGATGGACACAGGGAGCAAACTACCTCATGTTAAGGGTCATTAACTACAGACTGAGAATTTACAGGAGTTACTAGAGCTGCTCCTGGGCCTCGTTGTTTAATGCATTAATAAAGCAGCATATAAATCCTCTGTTGGGAATTTATCTTAATATTTTGATAACTATATTTTAATAATCAGCCTCCTTTGTTTACCTAAAATATTAAACAAGCTTCCACTGCTGTTTCTCAAATTAGAGCTTCAGGATCGCAGGGTGGGAAAAGGTTGAGGATTTTTTTCTCCCATGGAAGGGTCCGTAAATAACATTCTCCTGAACAACCAATGAGTCAAAGAAGAATTTGCAAGGGGAATTAGAAGATACTCTAGATGGGCCGGGTGTGGTGGCTCACGCCTGTAATCCTAGCACTTTGGGAGGCTAAGGTGGGAGGATCACTCAAGGTCAGGAGTTCAAGAAAATGCTTTAGATAAATAAAACCGAAAAGACCTGGGTGGGATGCAGCTAAAGCAGTGTCCCTGTCCCTTGTCACACCTATATTAACAAAAAAAGGATCTTCAAGGCTGGGCACGGTGGCTCACGCCTGTAATCCTGGCACTCCGGGAGGCTGAGGCGGGAGGATCACTCAAGGTCAGGAGTTTAAAACCAGACTGAGCAAGAGCAAGACCCTGTCTCTACTAAAAATAGAAATAAATTAATAGGCCAACTAAAAATATATAGAAAAAATTAGCCAGGCATGGTGGCGCATGCCTGTAGTCCCAGCTACTCAGGAGGCTGAGGCAGGAGGATTGCTTGAGTCCAGGAGTTTGAGGTTGCTGTGAGCTAGGCTGATGCCATGGCACTCTAGCCTGGGCAACAGAGTGAGACTCTGTCTCTAAAAAAAAAAAAAAATCTCCAAACAATAGCCCAACCTTCCATCTTCGGGAACTAGAAAAAGAAGTGCCAACCAGACCTAAAGCACTGAAGTTATCTTCCCAAGGAGGGGTCTGTAGGCTGCCCTAGAATTGTACCCCTTGCCCAGGCAGCTTCGGAAGCCCTTTTGAGAAAGGCCAAAAGGAAACGTACTACAAGGTTAGCAGAATTTCTCCCTTCTTTTATGGTCACTTTCAAAATTTCCTTTAGGGTAACATGTGTTTTCTATTTGAAAAGCTTAAAAGAACTATTAAAATAAAAAACAAAGGACTATAACTTCAGGACTATTAGACAAGGGTTCAAATCTAAGTGAGGACAAGTTCCTGTCTCCGGGCCCCACCTTCCCCCTTCGACGGAAAGGGCCGTGGCCCTTGGGGTGGCCTGTTCCCCCGCTGCTCTCACCTGTCGAGCCCAGCCGAGCATGACGGTGTTGTACATGGCGAGCGTGAGCAGCTGCTGCTTGCGGGGACTGCCGTGGTGGGCCACCAGCACGTGGTGGGCAAGGCGCAGGTGGTCAGTGAGCAGGCAGCACTCGAAGAAGGCCAGGAGCGTCTGCTGCTGACCAGTGAGCTGCGCCTCCGCCTCCCTATCCGCCAGGGCCTGCTCCTTTTTCAGGCTCAGCTTCTGAAGGGCCGCCTGCAGCGCCTGAGCCAGCTGCTTCTCCGAGGGGCTCTCGGGGGTCCCATGCACCCCACACTGCAGGGAGTCAGCCAGTTTTCTGCTCACCAGCTGGGGCTCCGTCCGCAGGGGTTTGGGCTTCAGCTTCTGGGCCAGTTTCTGGGCCCGCACCTGCAGCTTCACCTCCAGCCGCTGCTTGCGCTTCTGCTGGGTCTGCTTCTCCTTGTGCAGTTTCTCTGCCCAGCGGCCAGAGGGCAGAGGGGCAGCACCCGTAGCCCCTTCCTGGGCCTTCCTGGGCGGCTGGACGCTGCCACCCCCACCGCCATGTTCTGGGAGCCGAGCCACATCCACCTTGTTGACGGTCACCTCCGACACACTCTCGGCCTGTAGCTGCCGCACCCGTGCCTGGAGCACTGTGCAGGGGCAAAGGGTGAGGGTGTCAGAGGGACCCTGTCTAAGCACCAATCTCTCCAGACCCTGTGCTGGGCCGGGAGGTAGAGGCAGCTGATCTTCCCCGGTCATGAGGCCTCAACGCCACGGATCTGCTGGCAACTGCCTAATGTGCCTCCCCGCCGGCTGCTGTCCCTCCGCAGCACTCAGCATCTCACACAAGCCCTGGTGTCCCCAAAACCTGCTCCTCCACGTCTCCCCCATCACTGGCTGCTCTGTCCCCCCAGGTGCTCAGGCCAAGAGTCCTGGAGTGGCCAACAACTCTCTCTCCCTCCATATCTCCCCTGTCCCCACATGCTCTGGGCTCCACCTTAGAAATCCATCCAAGTGACCCATCCCCGCCAAGCTCACCTCCCTGTTCTCTTCACGATCCCACCTCAGGCCCTTTATACATGCCACCCTGACCGTGCTGCCGATTTCCAATCTCAAAAAGCGCCTGAGAGCTCACAGCCCTCCCTCCTGCCCCCTTCCTGCTCAGCACTCCCTGGGGCGACAGAGACCACTCCACACACACTTGACTCTGGGTATTTACGTTGGTTATGATCTACAAAGTCGCTGCTGATGGGGAGTCAGTGCAAACTGAACCCTGCTCCTAGGGGAAATACAGGGTTAAGGTCCTGTGGCCTCCAGTCACGTTTTGCTCAACCAATCAGTACGTAACTCTGTTTTATGTGTTTTTGTTGACACCTTATTGAAAACCTACAGTTCATTTATTACCATCGAACTCACTGCCCGGAGTTCACTCGGGCCTGAATGAAGCTCACCTAAGGGGCATCACTGCCCTACACACGGGGCCACTTCAAACAGCAAAATCACCAACCAAAAAAAAGCACAAAGATGGGAAAAGCAGGGCACTGAGTGAACCACAGAAAGGACCCTTGTTTGTGGGATGAGCTAAATGAGAAGGGAAGGCATCGGGACATCAAGCTGGGCATTGTGGTCACACCTGTGGTCCCGGCTACTCAGGAGGCTGAAGCAGGAGGATCACTTGAGCCCAGGAGCTGGAGGCTGCAGTGAGCCATGATGATGCCACTGCATTCCAGCCTGGGTGACAGAACCAGACTGTCTCTAAAATAATTAATTAATTAATCAAAAAAATAAATAACTAGGTAGCCAAGAGAGAAAGCAAGGTTACCACTGACGCTTGTTGTTCACTGTATTTGTAGCTTTACTTTTGTCCTTTTTAAAGGCTCTCCTCCTCCCCCCTACCCTCCCTGCCAGCTGTGGGACAGGGGTGGTGGGGGTGGTGAGCCAGAAACATGGTCAGGGCAGGGCGAAGCACAGAGATGCCCCCACCTCCCTACAATGCCACCAACCAGGCCAGGCTGGAGGTCTGGGACCACTCGCCCCTGGGCCATGCTTCCCAAGTTACATGGTCTGCTGGACTCCATCAGGTGCCCAACTCGAGAACTGAGTCAGTTTGGAGTTCAAATTCTGGCTCCGCATGTGCGGCCTGTCACAGCCTTGGGAGTCTCTCCAGGCAGAATTGTGGGCCTCAAAGTTCCCTCTGGGAATCGGGAGCAGCTGGTGGGCTCTGGGAAGGGGGGATTAGGAGAGCTCCCAGAGGCCCCTCCCTCCCCCCTGCATGAGACATGGAACCAGCTGAGCAACACCACAAGGTCCCTGTCATCCCTTCAGCCGCTCCTCGGAACCACCAAAGAGGTGGGCACTGCTGATGCCCCGTCTTAGGGTCCGAGCCTCAGTTTCCTCTCCATGCCACAGGAAGCTGCTCCCTTCTATGGGGGTCATGGGGGGGGGGCTGGCTCACCCTCCAGCAGCTCCGCGTGTCCCCAGTCCTTCCGGAGGTCTTGCTCACGGGGGCTGGCAGAGGAGCTCCTCCTGGGGCCCAGGCTAACTCCGAGGGTCCCTGTGGGAGAGATGAGGGAGGCTGAAGGGGGGCGGGCGACAGTGGGGCTGAGGAGGGGGTCGAAATCAGAGGGTCAAAGGGCAGAGAAGCCCTAACTTCAGCGGAAACTCCGCTGTCCTGGGCCTTTCATCGGAAAGAAACCAACACATAAAAGGGGAAAGGGGCGCCACATGCCGAGAAAATTAAGAGCTCAGGGTCGAGGATAACTAAAGGGCAGAAGGTTCAAAGGTCAAGAACCCTAAATCCCAAACACGAGATCAGGACCCAATCTCTAAGAAACCAAGAGTCAAAGGTCAAAGTGTCCTGTCTACCCCCGTCAGGAGAAAAGGGCAAAGGCGAGTGAAAAGCGGGTCCGCGCCAGTAGGGTCCTCAGAATTACAAAAGGCAAAGGTCGCGGGTGACTGGATTCCAGGGGCACCAAGAGCCAAAGGTCACGGCCACGGGGGGAAGAGCGGCGGCCGCGACGTCGTCCCCGGCCGTCCCCTCGCGTTACCTTCCTCGGCCGGGAGGCCGCGGCGGCCGCAGGACCGCAGGACTCTCCCGAGCCCCGCCGCCCCGCAGCCCCAGCGCAGCGCCGACATGCCGCACGCGGACCCCTGCGCCGCCGCCACAACCCGCCAAGTCTGCGCATGCGCTCGCGCCGCCTGCCGGGAGTTGTATTTCCCCAGCCGCCTGCGCAGGCGAAGGGACGTCCCTGCCGGAAGTGCGCCTCCCGAACCACAATTCCCAGGGGGCAGCGGGACATGGGAGGCTGCAGGGCAGGAGCCGGTAGAGCCCTCTGATTGGTTCTTCTCTCAGTCCTCAAGGAAGGGCGGGACAGAGCAACAGGGCAACTCGGGCTGACTCGAAGGCGGTCTTTGGGAGGACCTGGAACCTGGAATTTTTTTTTTTTCTGAGACAGAGTCTCACTCTCTTGCCTAGGCTAGAGTGCCATGGCATCAGCCTAGCTCACAGCAACCTCAAACTCCTAGGCTCAAGCCATCCTCCTGCCTTAGCCTCCCGGGTAGCTGGGACTACAGGCATGCGCCACCATGCCCGGCTAATTTTTTCTATTTTTAGTTGTTTGGCTAATTTCTTTCTATTTATAGTAGAGAGGAAGGCTCGCTCTTGCTCAGGCTGGTCTCGAACTCTTGAGCTCACGCAATTCTCCTGCGTCAACCTCCCAGAGTGTGGAATTTTTTTAAAGGAATATTCACTTAATAATTCGCAGCGTTCTGCAACTTAGAGATTCCTGTCCACAGTCTTCATTGATCGAATGACAACTTTGGGGTGGAAACAATTACTGCCACC